GGGCGTTTGGTTTGTTAATCCCTGGAGAGGGATTTAACGTTAGCAGAAAGAGGGTCCCAACCCAGACCCCAGGAGAAGGCTCTTGGATCTCTGGCAAGAAAGAATTTGGGACAAGTTCACAGAGTAAAGTGAAAGCAAGCTTATTAAGAAAGTAAAGGAATGAAAGAACGGGTACTCCATAGACAGACAAGGGCATTCCGGAAAGCAAGAGGAGGAATGCATCCACCTTAGGTAAATGCTTGTGTAGATATAACAGTGAAAATCATGGGCACACGTGCTGTACTACCGAGGCTTGTGACAAAGGACTTTGTGTGACTGTTACCAAAACACCAGGAGTTAGGTCTAGGTCCTGCTGCTGGCCACAACAAAAGCCAATCACTGAGATGACAAGTATTGCCAAGGAAGAGGCCTTTAAATGGGTACTGCAGCCCAGGAGACAATGAGACGAGACAGGAGGTCAGTCTCGAACCCATTTCCCTGACTAAAACTAGGGGTTTACATAGCAGGGAAGAAATGCAACACTGTGTAAGAAAACCAGAGGAGGGAGGGGCAAGGAGGCATCTGGTGCTGGTGATCTGTTGAATTTCAGTTCTTTGATAATTTTTCTGAGAGGCCTGAAGGTCCTTTCCTGAGGAAGAAACTCAGATAAAACAGATACAAGTTTCAAGCTTTAAGGGCAGAAGGGTCAATATCTATGTTTATCCAAAAACAACCGTCTATAGGACTATTGAGCCAGGTTTAGTAACTACTGCCTTTCCCAGTAATCTGTATTATTGTTAAAACAAAACTTTTAAGAATACTTTTGTTCTTGGCCGGGTGTGGTAGCTCACGTCTGTAATCCCATCACTCTGGTTTACGTAATCCCAGCATTCTGGCTCATGCCTGTAATCCCAGCACTTTGGGAGGCGGAGCTCAGGAGTTGGAGACCAGCCTGACCAAAATGGCGAAACCCTGTCTCTACTAAAAATACAAAAATTAACCCAGCATGGTGGTGCACACCTGTAATCCCAGGTACTTGGGAAGCTGAGGCAGGAGAATCACTTGAACCCAGGAGGTGGAGGCTGCAGTGAGCTGAGATCTCACCATTTTGCACTCCAGGGTGGGCAACAAAGTGAGACTCTCTCAAAAAAAAAACAACAAAACAAAGCCAGGTGTGGTGGCTCATGCCTTTAATCCCAGCACTTTGGGATGCCAAGGCAGGTGGATCACCTGAGGTCAGGAGTTTGAGACCAGCCTGGCTAACATAGGGAAACCCCGTCTCTACTACAAAAAAACAAAACAAAACAAAAAAATTAGCCAGGCGTGGTGGTGCACACCTGTAATCCCAGCTATTCAGGAGGCTGAGGCAGGAGAATCACTTGAACCCAGGAAGTGGAAATTTCAATGAGCTGAGATGGCACCATTGCACTCCAACTTGGGCAATGAGAGTGAAACTCCATCTCAAAAGAAAGAAAGAAATCTTTCAGGACACCAGGACATTTCCTGGGTCTGTTAAGTGTTAGGTCTGTTTGGTAAACATTATTAATTTTTTCTCTTATGTGTAAATATTCTGTGACTAAGCATGTGTAACCTTCTGGGAATACAGCCCAGTAGGTCTCAGTCTCATTTTCCCCATCCCCTATTCAAGATGGAGTCGCTTCGGTTGGAATGCCTCCGACCGGATCATGTGGGGAAAAGCAACTGTGGAATAGTTGAGTCCTGGAAAACAGGCCTCAGGGAAGAGCAAAGGCTGGGGATGAGGAAAGGACGAAACACCACTCGCTCTGTAGCTGTGCAGGACTGAGCAAGAAGCACAGGATCAAACTCAAAGTTAGTCCGAGTCCTGATTTTGATGGTGAGACCCAAGGAAAATTCATCAACAAACATTGTGCTGCCAGATACATTAATAAACAAATCCCTAAAAGGGCCTGTAATTCAGTTGAAATGAGTTAGAAAAATCTTAAGGATCCTTATAAATTAAATACAAACTTGCTCTCAAGCAATCATTTGATTCACTCTATATCAACGATTGTGCACTTTAGCATCACCTGAGGATCTTTAAGAAAATAACTGTGCCAGGCCTCATTTCCAACGATTTAATTTGTCTGGGGATGGAGCCGCAAGACAGTCGTAGTTTTTGAGGGCTTCCAGGTGACTCTAATGCATAGCCACAGTTGGAAGCCCTGCGCCTATCTCACAGGTGTCTGGGTCTCTACTATCTGTGTCCGCTTAGTTGCCAGGAGGCAGCAAGTCAGCCCACTTGTGCAAGATGCTTCCTTCCATACCAGGTAGGAACATTGCTCTCTGAAACTCGGAGTGTGCCTGGGCAGAAGCTCTGGAGCCCAATACCTGCATTTTACAAGCCAAATTGCTGCTTTTTGCTCAGTGCCTGTGTGCCTGCATACATGGGTCTCCTGATACTCAGGCACGGCAGACGACTTTCACCTTTTAGTGTTTTGCTCACTGCTGCATCTGCGCAGCCTAGAATGGTGTCTGGTACACAGTAGGCTCTCAATGTCTTATTAATGAGTTTCCTTTCCCAATACTGAAGTGCTCGTGGGCGAATTCCAGAAGACCCTGCATCATTTTAATTAATTAATTAATTAATTAATTAATTTGAGACGGAGTCTCGCTCTGTCACCCAGGTTGGAGTGCAGTGGAGCCATCTCAGCTCACTGCAACCTTCGCCTCCCGCGTTCAAGCAATTCTCCTGCCTCAGCCGCCCGAGTAGCTGGGATTACAGGCAACCGCCACCACGCCCGACTAATATTTTGGTATTTTTCGTAGAAACGGGGCGTCACCATGTTGGCCAGGCTGATCTCGAACTCCTGACCTCAAGTGATCCGCCCGCCTCGCCGTGGGACTACAGGCGTGTGCCACCGCGCCCGGCCTAGAGGCAATTTTCTATTTCTGACTTGCTAGGCTAGTCAGAGGAAGACGCCTTTACAGGTTTGGGCAGGCAGCTGGAAAAGGCACACGGCCCAGGGCTCCTCCTCCACCCAGCCCCACCCCTCCTCGGCTGAAGACCAGCCCTAATAAGGCAGCGACCAGAATTAGCACCAGGTCAAGCGCACTCCAGGCGGGACAGTGGGCAGACCCTACCTCGCGCATGCGAATAGCTTCAGTGCCGGCTCCTTCAAGAGCGGGCGCAGACTCAAAGCCGTTGCTTCCGCCCTTACTCCCCTCAGCTCGTCCCTGGGC